CACACACACACACACACACACACACACACAAACAACAACCATTTTAATTGTGCTGTTCCTATCAATAATCATGAAAAGTTGGAACGTTGTAAGTAAGCCTTGAGCATATCATTAAACTGAATTTTGGGGATGTTGAAAGGTGTGTCTCTGATAGAGCTTTGGGAGTGTGCAAAAATAGACAATGAAGGTCAGCAGAATTCATGGTAACCTCAACATCAGCATCGGTGAAAGTCTGCTGAAACAAGCCAGCGAGTTCAAATGGTCACTTTTAAGCACAAGGGGACTATCCCGAAAAATTCTGTTTTGAGAAAAATCGAAGGTAAATTTTGTGCCCCTTGTTCAGTGTCTTTAAAGGACAAGGAGAGTTTTCTCTATGACCAAACTAACATACCCACCAATGGAACCAAACTTCTCTTATAGGTAGGGCAATGCCTACTTTACGTGTCGGTCAAGATTTCTGGAAACCCCAGGAATCTGGGTTAGCCCACTTGTTTTTAAAAGCGACCAAGTATCTTGGCATTATCTTCTCGGACGAAGGAAGTCTCAACAGAGAAATTGAGACAAGAGTGCAAAAGGCTAACAGCGTCTGCTACCAGCTTGCCCCAGTCCTCAAACATCCTAGAATCCCCTTTTAGTTTTAGTAAGAGTTTTGCGGCACTTGCAACACAAGAAGGTCATATAAGTGCCGAAGATTAGAGGTGTTACAAGAGAGTAACGAACACAGAAAAGGAGGAGGAGAGATAAGGACGATAGATGTTTGATAGGTAAGAAGAAGCAAACCACACCAGAGCACCCGCCAACCCCCACTAACATCCCTACTGAGACCAAAGCCAAGCTCATTTACACTATTTTTATCCCTTTTGTACCTTGACTTACCAGTGCCAGAAATGGACCTTGACCAAAAGTCTGGAACGTAAGATAATCACTTGCGAGATGAGATGTCTGAGGAGAGCCGTCAACAAAACTAGACAAGATATGGTCAGAAACACCAGGACCAGAGAAATGGTGGGAACAACACCAGTCCTCCACTACATTCTGTGGCAAACCATCAGGTGGGTTGGACATCTCACACGTACGGCACCTGGACCTCACCAGCTTGCCTGTAAAGCGGAATAGAAAAGGGTAATATCAGGGTACAAGGCAAGAGGAAGACCTAGGAAGACCGGGATTGATGGTGTAAAGGATACCCTGAAGACACACAAATCCCACCCAGCTAGGCCATCCAGTTTGTCAGGGACAGAAAATTGGCTTCGGTGGCCCAGTGGTTAGGCTACCGGAGTCGTAATCGTGAGATTGCGGGTTCGGGGTTCGAGCCTCAGCGCAGTCCGACGTTGTGTCCTTGGGAAAGGCACTTTAAACTAATTCCCCCACTTGGCTAGGTCATTTCGGAGACGTACGTTAAACTAGGAGGCCCCGCCTCTTAAATAACCGAATAGTGTTGATAGGGGTGTTAAACCCATAGCATTTCACCATTTGTGAGGCAGCGTGGTGGAATCAGGCTCTCATCAAAATAATCAAAATGAAGAAACGTGCTTTTGTTCCTCAGGTTTATAAATTTTTATCAAATTTTTGCTTTTTGGCTCAACACCTTTGATGCCTATTAAAGAACTCATTTCTGTGGACATTTATCTGAAAAACGTTAATTAAAGGCATAAAAGATGTAAATGTTCAGTGACCGCGGACTCCTAAGCTAAGGAAATAACTGATCTTTGGCGGCCATTTTCTCACTAATTTTACCTCTGAAAACAGGTGACCCCCACCCCCTTCATTCGCAAATATCTCGACTTGTATTCAAGATAAATGATTTTTTTTTCACCCATATAAAGACAAATGAACAAGCTTTAAGAAGATACCAATAACTCTACATGCCCAAAAATTGACGAGAGCCTGATTCCACCACGCTGCCTCACATTTTCACCAGAGACAGAACGCTCTTTCTCCCCCTCGTTGGCCTAGACGGTACAGGAGGAAGCATAAAGGAAAGTAAGTGGAGTCGGACTGA